AAGCAATGAAGGTATAACGTTGTCTAATGTCGTTGTGTTGCCAGAGGTGCTGTCAAGTCCACTGTCGCTGTGCGTGAGCCCATTGTCACAGCCACGGTGCCAGTTTGTCTCATCGAAGGTCTTCCTTTGCATCACTAACCCCCCACTTTCCCAAGCCAACAGCCCTTCTCCAGGGAGACCATGTCCAGAGCACAGAAGACCAAAGGACCCCACCCTCGCTTCTCAAGAACATTCTGGCGGTCCTTCGTCCAAGATGGATGTGTTTGTCCATCTGAGAGTCCACGGTCATGTCAGTAGTCTTCATCCACACCATCACTCAAAAGCCGCGAGTTCTTCATCTAATAGTTGAAAGGAAATGTACCTTGACTGCAAGCCAGGAAATCGCATACTTATTTCCTTCTGAGTCTGCAGTATTACGTGTGGCCACTGACCTCCCAATGAAATGAGTCGGAAAAACTGATTTCAGGGTCGTCAGCGGTATCCGTCTTCAAGTGGGGAGGGGGAAGCAGGAATTCCGCTCCCTCACCAACTCAGCTATCAGTGACTGAGCTATGGAACCACTGTCCACTGTGGTAGCCACGGTTCACATGTGGCTACTGACCACTTGAAATTTGGCTGGTCCAGATTGATATGGGCTGGAATGTAAACACATTCCAGATTTCAAACACTATTGGGGATTCACTTTTACAAAGAAAGAAAGGAAAAAGAGTATGGGGGAGAAGTCAAATATTTCTTCAATGGTTTTTATATTGATGGCATATTAAAATAGTATTTTGAACACACTGGGTTAATTAAAATACATGATTCAAATTAATTTCCCCTGGTTGTTTTTAACTATTATTAATGGGGCTACTAGATAAATTAAAAGTACGCACCTAGCTTGCATTTTATTTCTAGTGCATAGCGCTGCTCTATCATAAAACAAAACAAAATAAAAAACCCACCACCCAGGAGTGCTGGTGGCACCATTGGGTCAGCATTGGACTACTAATGGCTCCCTGTTGTGGGTCCAACAACTCGGATGATCTTTGCCTGGGAGAAAGACGAGGCTGTCTGTCTGCTCCGAGAAAGACGAGGCTGTCTATCTGCTCTGAGAAGCTTGTCCGGCCCTGGAAGCCCTCCCTCTGTAGGGTCACAACAAAGCAGCATCAACTCGAGGGGAGTTTTTAACTTTGACTGCTGTGGCGGCTAATGAAAGTTGCACCGTGGCTGCGGTTTGTCTTTAAGGAATGGCTCTGCTGTGTAGCATTCTCTTACCCTCTCTCGACTTCCTCCAATGCCAGTCCTCCCCCAGTTTCTTCAGAGTAACTTCCTGAATCTCCCCTCTGAGGTTCCCTGGACCTTAAATTTAGTTCAAACCAAACTCACTGCCATCGAGTTGATTGTAACTCAGAGAAGACAGAGTAGGACAGTCCCTTCCGGATTTCTGAGATTGTAACTCTTTACGAGAGTGGAAAGCCTCATCTTTCTCAGAGGTCAGTGGTTTCGAACTGCTGACCTTGCAGCCCGATGCATAGCCCTCTACACCACCAGGGCTTCCTTTCCAGAAGACCAAATGAAAAGATGGATCCACGTCATGGGTTCCCAGGAGAAGTTGACCCTGTGAATCTCTTCTCTGGGAGCTAACCCTCTATGAGTGCAGATCCAAGGGCTGAGAAGGAGGTAGGTGTGTGTGTGTGTGTGTGTGTGTGGTGTTGCAGCAGCAGGGATGCCCATCTAAAGTCTGAGCTCCCTTAGGGGCTCACTCCTTGTCAACAGGCTGCACTCCCACCTTTGCCTCACGCCATCCCCACACATGTCTTCTGTACTGCATCTTCCCTTTGGGTTCATTTGTGATTCAAATGTAGGCCTTGGGTTTTGTTTGTTTAATCAATCATTTTATTGGGGGCTCTTACAGCTCTGTCACTGTCCATACACCGATTGTATCAAGCACATTTGTACATATGTTGCCATCATCATTTCCAAAACATTTTGTACTTGAGCCCTTGATATCAGCTCCTCTCTTTTCCCCTCCCTCCCCCACCCTCCCACCCTTGGGAACCTTGGTAAATTATTATTTTCATATCTTACACCATCTACCTTCACCCACGTTTTTTGTTGTTTGTCCCCTTTGGGGTGGGGGGCAGGGCAGTATTCATATGTTGATCATTGAGATCAGTTCCCCCTTCTCCCCCCACCTTCCCCCTACCCTCATGGTATCACGACTCCCATTACTGTTCCTGAGGGGTTTATCTGTCTTGGATTCCGTGTGTCGAGAGCTCCAATCTGCACCAGTGTACATGCTCCAGTCCAGCTGGATTTGTAAGGTAGAACTGGGGTCATGATAATGAGGGGGAGGAAGCATTAGAGAACTCGAGGAATGTGTGTTTCATGGGTGCTGTACTGCACCCTGGCTGACTTGTCCCTTCCTTGTGACCATTCTGTGAGGGGATGTCCAATTGTCTACAGATGGGCTTTGGGTCTCCGCTCCGAACCTCTCGTTCACATTAGGCCTTGGTTTTTGAACACCCCCACCACAGACTCCCTTGTTTTCTTTGGTTCTCGTCAACTTCAGTCCTCATTTTTCCAAACCACTGGGATAGGTCCACCCACTCGTAGGCAGGCCCCATTCCCAGAAGTCCAGTCCTGGCCCAACCTGGGTCCTCTATTTGGCTGGGAAGAAAGAGCAGAGGGTCTTTACTAGCGAGACCCTCAATACAAGGTAAAGGAGGCAAAGGGCCTTCTCAGAACCAGGAGGTGGCTGGGTTCAGTGGCATTTCTGGTAACCCGGTGCCCATGAAGACGGCTTCCTCTCCAGGGTGCCACGGTCTGCCGTTGGAGGCTGTTTACCAGTGAAGCCGCTCTGAAACCAGCCTTGCTTCACTGAGTTCCTGCCGAATCAGGCTAACTCTGCAACCCTCACAAACCTAACTCTGACTAACCCTCCAGCCAGGGCTTTGGAAATGACAGGACAGCAGCTTCTTACCAGCTTGCTGCGACGCGATGGCTTGCTTTGTTCAGGTGGCCAGCACCCAGGAGACATTCCCTGACTTTCCGCCTTCGGCGTAAAGAGGCAGATGAGTTTGAAGTGGTTCTCACGGGAAATACGGGGCAAGCGCCCCACTGTTTGGGAATCCCAGGCCTGGAAGAGAAAGAAGACAGGAGTGAAAGTGAACCTTCAGAGCAGCCACAGAAAGATAAGAGGGATGAAGGAAGGAGGGTAACGCCGCCCAAAGAACTGGACCCCTTCCCCTGGTGGGTCAAGGTGTTCTTGGCTGGCACAGTTACAGGGCACCCCACCCACGGCCTGACAGCGAGGAAGCGATTCTCAGACCCGTGGTTCTCTCGAAGAGCAGTTCTCAGGGTTGTCTACATCTCTCAAACGACTCTAGCAGGAATTGGCCTCATTTCAGGAAGCAGCACTGTCCAACTGGGATAAACTAAGACTGTTTTTACTTCCACTGCATTTATACCTTACTTCCCATGGATCATTGAGTGAGATGTTACAATGGTGATATTGTTATCTCTTTGAAAATTAACCTAGTAGATTTTTAACCTAAGGCTGATTTAAAGCAAAGCACAACACACACACATGTACTCTCACACACACGCTCAAACCCACTGCTCTGGAAGTCATTCTGAATCCCGGTGGCCTGAACGACTGAGAGTTAGGGCTGAGGAATCCCAGAGTCCTGGACCTAAAAATTATCCTGTTGCCAACTCCATCCACGGCTTCAGCTATTTGGCGTTCAGTAAAATAGAAATCTCAAAGAAACGGATTTTGCAGCTCCCAGAAAGAATTGGGGAGATTGAAAATGTAAGGGAGAATGTTATTTTAAAGTGCCTGCTGTCTTTTGATAAGCAATGCCAGAATCTTACAAAGATACTCCCACACCACACTCACTGCTGCCTCCTAGTGACCTTGTCGGACAGGGCAGCATGGCCCCTGTGGGCGTCTCAGACGGTAACTCCTTATGGGAGTTGAAAGCCTCTTCTTTCCCTCTCAGAGCAGCTGGGGATTATGAACTGCTGGCCTTGTTAGCAGCCCAAGGCATGACCCACTATGCTACCAGGGCACCTCTAAAAAGTACAATTGATTTAAACTTGGTTGAACCAACTAGTCTGCCTTAAAGAAACCACTTCTCTATAAAAAAAACAAAACAAAAACAAACAAACATAAAGAACCTAAACTAAGCCTACCCGGCAGCTGTGGGGTTGATTCTGACTCCGAGCCGCACTGTGTGGGGGTTCTCGGGCCTGCTTCACGGTTCTCCTATGGTGCTGCTCGTGGATTTAAATCACCAGCCTTGCTGTTAGCAGCCCAGTGACTAGCCTCCAGCCTCCCAAGGAGGCTTCATGTGTACCTCTTTCTCCATTGGCCAGTCGTTGCTCAAACCCCCCCTCCTCTCCCTCCCGGCCTTCTCTCTGATTGGGGGGATGCAAAACCTTCCATTCCAGTTTACTTTTTTGTAAAACATTACACTTTTCCATCTCCATCCCACTTTAGGACCTACACACAATATTGCCTTAAAATTATTAAGAAAAAATCAGTACGCATTTTTGCCAAACCCAAGAGTTGACGGCCCCTGGTCACCTCACCTAGTGATGTAACCCAGAAGCAGTGACATTTAAATGACTAGTTTCTCCTGAATACATGTCACATCTGCCCCCTCCCCCTTTTAAAGGAGTAAGTACAAGGGGAGCTTTCAAATATTTGCGGGGAAATTCCATTACTTTCTATTTCATTTCCCCCCCAATTTCTTGCATGGTGGTTATGCGTTGGTTGGGCTGTTAACATCAAGGTCAGCAGTTTGAAACCCCCAGCTGCTCCATGGGAGAAAGATGAGGCTTTTTGACTTCCAGCTGCACAGCTCAGTGACATTAATTACACTCACCGCGAATATGAATTAACAGTCTTAATCAAGGCTCTATGTGATGAAAGGCCAGGACCCTGGGTGAGCGGGAAGGGAGGGGAGCTTTCCCATGACCTTGGCTTTCATGGTGCTTGTCTGTCTCCCCAGGGGTTCCACTGAGAGGCAAAGGCCCTGGGCCCAACCCCAGGAAGACAGATGCAGCTAAAAGATGAAGGAGGGAAAGTAACCACTTACTGCTGTTATGATGGAAACCCCGGTGCCCAGTGAAATGGGAACAATCCCATCAGGATCTCCCACCTACATTAAATTGCTCGTGACCTACCGGGAGCTTCTGGTCACCCACGTCCGCAACACTCGCTGCCTGCTGGACAACCTGCTGGAGAATGACTACCTCTCAGAGGAGGACGCGGAGATTGTGTGTGCCTGCCCCACCCAGCCTGACAAGGTCCTCGGGGTCCATGGGGTACTTCCATGGGGTAGGGATCTAGGTGGCTGGAAGGGGTTCATGGAGTTGGCCTGAGTAGAGTGGACCGGGAGAGGCTTCAGTACCTTGGTCAGGATCTCACTTTGGGGTGGGGGTGGAGCACGAGGTGTCTTAAGAGAACATGAACTGACTGGGCTATTGGGTTCATACAGGATAAGTATAAGCTCCTCTCACCCCTCCACTGCTGAGTGCTTTAGCTCCCAAACATTTCTGTCACAAATTCCCTCCAAGTTAGCTGAGGAAATGGAAAGTGTAAGACATGGGGCAGTGGCGTGTATTCGGCGCACACACTGGGTGACTGCCCGTTGCCGCGTCAGACCCGGAGGATGGCCACTGCCCCAGGTCAGGAAGAATTTTCCATATCCCACCCAAGGGACGTCTCTACAGCCCTTAGTGTTGTGTCTTCTTCTGAAAAATAAAACTGGACAGATCAGAAAAAGCCTTCTGTGGTTAGGGGAATGTTGGTAATGTGATCTTGCTGAGGCTCAGGAGGGACAGGAAGGTTCTCTGGGGGAAGCCCAGTAGCGCACGCCGATGCTTGGGTCTCTTTTCTGGGTTGTTTTTCTGTACTTCAAAACATAACCAAAATACCAGTTGGAATAGAAAACGGATAGAGCTCCTAGTGGAGTGGCCCAGCACCCCACCTCCTGATCCATGAGGGGTGACTTTCCAAACCCCCTTTACCGAAGAAAGCCAGCTGCCATCCTGGCGAGCCCTGGGTGCCAGAGTAGAAGTGTGCTCCACGGAGTGTTCCAAGCAGTGAACTTTTGCCAGGAGGTTGCCAGGCCTTTCTTCCCATGCACCTCTGGGTACACCTGAATCATCAACCTTTTGGTCAGCATCGGAGCAGGCTGTTTGTCACGGGCAGGCGCTGGTTGGCAGTCTTATTGAGCAAAGAGGGAACAAGAGACGCAGAAAGGGAACTCCACGGTCTTAGCTGTGCCGCTCACCTTTCTATACTGTAGGCTCCCACGTGGGTTCCTTTCCGTGTCATGGGTCCAGGTCTCCATCCTGGGGGCTCTCACACCAGCTGGGGCTATCTGGGCTCCCTCTGTGCCCACCGGGGGTCTTTTCTGTGGGAGGAAGCCCCTGGTGCCAGCTCCTATCCTCGGCTTGTGCCACCACCAGGTCCGCAAGCTCCTGGATCTGGTGCAGAGCAAGGGCGACGAGGTGTGCGAGTTCCTCCTCCACGTGCTCCAGCGTCTCCAGGATGCCTACGTGGACCTCCAGCCCTGGCTGTCGGAGATCGGCTTCGCCCCATCCCAGCTCATTCAGAGCAGAACTGTGCTCAACACAGATCCAGGTATGGTTGCCCCGGGACCGCACACACTCAAGCAAGCCAGGCCCCCCGGCTCTGGAAATGCGGACTATATCGGAGGGCAAGCCCCTTGGAACAGAGGTGGACCTGCCTCGGGGGTGGGGGGCCGGGTGGGAGGAGCTGCTTTCCTGTATGGAAGGGACCGCTGCTCTGCGGCTCCCAGGTGGCTGCGGCTCGAGCTGACCCCAGGTAAACTGCCTGGTCCATGGCCGCGTGGCCGCGGCTTCCATTCTGACCTCTTGGTGAAGCCCCACGGTGACAGTTCGCGGGGCTCCGATGGTCGCACACATTCCAGTCGAACTGGTCTTTTTTGGGAAGTCTTCGTAGGCTGCACATTCTGGGGACCAGCACTAGGAGCCCCGCTGACTTCAGGCACTGAATGGGTTAGGAATGGACGGTGCCAGGGACACGGTGGGGAGCGGACGCCGGCCTGCTTCTCCTGCCCTCGGGGAGCTCCGAGTCCGATGGACGGGATCGCGTCCTGAGCTCATCCGCAGAGGGCTTTGCTGCAGATCAGGATGAAGGATGGTAGCCCTACAGGGACCGGAAGCGGCTTCCAACAGTTCCAGGGAGAAAGCAGCATCTGGTCCGCCATTTTGTCACGTGCTTTTTGAAGCTTCCGCTTGTTATATCACAACACGTCGCATCACGTCACACACCGTAGAATTGATCCCAAGTCTGATCTGCGGGTCAGGAGTTCTTCTGTCTCCCCATGTTGAGGCAGCTGCGGGCACCTCTCCAGGACCCATGTCCCAACTCTGCTTCTTTTGCTTTCCTAGTTGCATAAGATTTAAGATGCTATTTGTCATACTAGTCTCTTGGGGGGAGGGCTTCGAAAGTTCACAGAAATTTCCTATTAGCTCTTAATTCCATTTTCCTCCATGCACCTTTTGAAGCCCCTGAGTATCGTTTTTAAAATTAACTTTTTTTTAAATAGTGGAAAAACCATCACCACCCGTTCAACAATTCCTGTATGTCCAATCAGGGGCATTCTTAGTGGCATCTTCGAGCTAGACAACCATTATCAGTCACCACCACCTTTTTTTTTAGTGATTCCCCTCCCATTAACATAAGTGATTACCTAAAACTTTACTGTCTGACCTTTGAAGTTGGTATTGCTAATGTCATCCACACGGATCTCTGAAAGACCATCATGCAGATCAGAATGTCACCTTCTTGTGGGACTCAGATTTTCCTGGAGCCCCCAAGCAGGACGAACCCCTAAAGCAATGGCCCTGGGGCCGGCTTTCAACAGAAAGTATCCCCAGAAGCCTACTTCAGACTGTGGTTTGTTTCCAGTAGTAAAGACTGTCTGCCAGACTCCAATGGTTGAAGACTCCGGGCTGATTGTGGACGCAGAAGTAAAGGGCAAGGTGCAGAAAGTCAGGGCGGGGGCAGGGGATCAGAGTGTCTGTCTGGCCCCGCAGAGCTGGGAAGGCACCAACACCAACGAGAATCCTGCCAGCCCAGGCGGGCTTCCTCCGCTTTTCACTAAAATTCACTTGGTAAGAAGACAGAGGGAAAAGACGACACGGTCTTCGGTTCCATCGAATTCTTGGGCAGAAAAGGGAAATTGACAGAGACAGAGAACTAGGACCCAAAACGCACTGCCATCAAGTACAGTGACCCTATACAGAGTTTCTGGGATTGTAAAACATTATAGGATCACACAGCCTCATCTTTGTCCCACGGAGCAGCTGGTGGGTTTGAACCACTGACATGCGATTAACAACAGCCCAATGCCTAACCCAAAGGGTCAGCAAACTTTTGAGATGGAAGAGTCGATCCTGTCCCTCCCAACAATTTAAAACTCATCTGAGAGGCATAAATATATTTTTACAAACAAATGAAATCACCATGATCTGAACAATGCCCCTTACATTTCTCAGTTTTCCTTCAGCGCCACATGTACGTACTGAAAGGGTGCCAAATGGCTCTGGAGGCAGTTTGCTGACGCTGAGAACCCGCAGGGCCACCAGGGCTCTTTAGCTTTTTCCCGAGCACAGTCATCATTTTAAAGGGGCTGACTGTGCTCTTTGAACAGGACTGTTGGGTTGCTAACCACAAGGTCAGCAGTTCAAAACCATCAGCTGCTCTGAGGGAGAAAGAGGAGGCTTTCTACTCTGGAGAGAATTACAGTCTTAGAAACCCACAGGGACCGTTCTACCCTGCCCTACAGAGTCGCTATGAATCAGCTTGGACGTGATGGCAGCGAGCGTTGCGGGTTTGTGAGGAGGTGGGGGCAGCGCTAGAGCGCCATCCAGCGTGGCCCTCGGGTTGGAGGGGCTTCCATCCCTGGCTGCAGGGCGATGACGGCTTGTGCAGAGGAATTGGAAGGAGGCCTTTGCTGTGAGTTGCAATTGATTTCATAGCAATGGGTTTGCTTGTGTGTTTTGGTTTTAGTCTCAGATCTGTTGCCCATTGGCTGGGTAGAGTGAGGAGACAGGCAGGGGGATTGAACCCCTGGACCTTCTGGTTCTAGGCCTCTGGAGGCCATGCATTTAGGAGCCATGTGGCTTCATGGCCCAGGGTGTGCCTTTAGTTGGTGTCTGTGCTCACATCTTCTCATGCCACTTCCTCCTCTCTCTCTCTCTCTCTCTTCCCCCCACCCCCCATCTCCCCGCAGTGAGCAGGTACACCCAGAAGCTTCGGCATCACCTGGGCTGCGACTCCAAGTTCATCCTGTGCTATGGCCAGAAGGAGGAGTTGCTCTTGGACGACGTGTACATGGACACGGTGGTGGAGCTGGTGGGCTTTGCCAACGAGAGCCTGGGTCTCCTGGGCAGCCTGGACGGCCTCCTGGACCACTCCACGGGCATCCTCAACGAGCAGGCCGAGACTGTGTTTGTGTCGGGCAACGCCGGTGTGGGCAAGTCCATGCTGCTGCAGCGGCTGCAGGGCCTCTGGGCCTCGGGCCAGCTGGATGCCGGCATCAAGTTCTTCTTCCACTTCCGCTGCCGCCTGTTCAGCTGCTTCCAGGCCAGCGACACCCTGTGCCTCCAGGACCTGCTCTTCAAGCACTACTGCTACCCGGAGCAGGACCCAGAGGAGGTGTTCGCCTTTCTGCTGCGCTTCCCGCACACGGCCCTCTTCACCTTCGATGGCCTGGACGAGCTCAGCTCGGACTTCGACCTGAGCAGTGCGCCCGACACCACCTCGCCCCTGGAGCCCGCCCACCCGCTGGTCCTGCTGGCCAGCCTGCTCAGCGGGAAGCTGCTCAAGGGGGCCACCAAGCTGCTGACGGCTCGCACGGGCCTGGAGATCCCGCGCCAGTTCCTCCGGAAGAAGGTTTTCCTGCGGGGCTTCTCCCCCAGCCACCTGCAGACCTATGCGCGGCGCATGTTCCCGGACCGTGCGCTGCAGACCCGCCTGCTGGATCAGCTGGAGGCCAACCCCAATCTGTGCAGCCTGTGCGCCGTGCCCCTCTTCTGCTGGATCATCTTCCGCTGCTTCCAGCACTTCTACTCGGCCTTCCAGGGCGCCCTGCAGCTGCCCGACTGCACGCTCACGCTGACCGACATCTTCCTGCTGGCCACCGAGGTCCACCTGAACAGGACCCAGCCCACGAGCCTGGTGCAGAGGAACACGCGGAGCCAGGTGGAGGCCTTCCACGCCGGCCGGGGCACCCTGCACTCCCTGGGCCGCCTGGCTCACGGGGGCATGGAGAGGAGTCTGTTCGTCTTCAGCCCGGAGCAGGTGCAGGCCTCTGCGCTGCAGGAGGGGGACCTGCAGCTGGGCTTCCTGAAGGCCGTGCTGGAACTGGGCCCCGGCGGGGAGCAGCTGTCTTACGAGTTTTTCCACATCACCCTCCAGGCCTTCTTCACGGCCTTCTTCCTGGTGGTGGACGACAGAGTGGGCACGCAGCACCTGCTCAGGTTCTTCCAGGAGTGGGCTCCTCCTGGGAAGACCGCGGCGGCGACCTGCTTCCCCTCTTTCCCCCCTTTCCGGTGTCTGGGGGGCCGCCGCCTGGCGAGGGAAGACCCTTTCAAAAACAAGGATCACTTTCACTTCACCAACCTCTTCCTGTGCGGACTGTTGTCCAAAGCCCGGCAGAAACTCCTGCAGCACCTGGTGCCCGCGGCGGCCTTGAAGAGAAAGCGCCGTGCCCTGTGGGCACACCTGTTCACCAGCCTGAAGTCCTACCTGAAGAACCTGCCCCGAATGAAGGTGGAGGGCTACAACCAGGTGCAGGCCATGCCCACCTTCATCTGGATGCTGCGCTGCATCTACGAGACGCAGAGCGAGGAGGTGGGGCAGCTGGCGGCCAGGGGCATCTGCGCCAACTACCTCAAGCTGACCTACTGTAACGCCTGCTCGGCCGACTGCAGCGCCCTCGCCTTCGTCCTGCACCACGTCCACCAGCGGCTGGGGCTCGACCTGGACAACAACAACCTCAATGACTACGGCGTGCGGGAGCTGCAGTCCTGCTTCCGCTGGCTCACCATCATCAGGTGAGGCTGCCAGGTCCAAGGAGCAGCAGACCAGGGGATGCCAGGCGGGGCTGGGACAGGCAAACCAGCACTCCAGATTGGGAACTCCTTATCCTGGGGCGCATGATACCTCGTCTCAGAATGTGGGGACCTTTTCTCTCTCTCAAGGTGGCAGAGCTAGGTCAGCACCCACTGGCTGCTCTCGAACGAGCCGCTTAACCTCTCTGAGCGTGTGCGTCCCCCTCTGGCAAAGGAGAGGGTTCTCATCTGAGCGATGACATAGCAGCCAGCCATGCCCACAGAGTAGGGAATGAAATGTGTTACAAAAGTCATCTCAAGGTGGCAGAGCTAGGTCAGCACCCACTGGCTGCTCTCGAACGAGCCGCTTAACCTCTCTGAGCGTGTGCGTCCCCCTCTGGCAAAGGAGAGGGTTCTCATCTGAGCGATGACATAGCAGCCAGCCATGCCCACAGAGTAGGGAATGAAATGCGTTACAAAAGTCATCTCAGCCTTCCTCACAGCTCTGTCACACAAGCACTGGTATCGTTCTTATAAACACTGTCAGTACACCGTGGCACAAGGCCTCTTCACGATGTTGAGAAGCTAGGATGTGACTTAGCTAGGACTAAGGTATACCTGATCCACTCTCCTGATATGCACGTGAAAGTTAGACATAGGAGGGAAAGAAAGTTAGGCATGGAGTAAGGAAGACTGTAGAAGGAGGGATGCAGTCGGATTATGGTGTTGGCGAAGAATAGGGAAAGTAGCCCAGACTGCCAAAAGAACCAACCCATCTGTCTTGGAAGAAGGGTGATCGGCGTGCTCCCAAAGCAAAGCCACAACCCCAACCTCTGGCTGTGTTTAAATTCTCTATTTATTGTCTGGCTCGCGCACGCCCCAAGAGCAGTGGGGATTGGGAACGGTTCTCGGTGCCTGTTGTGCTGATGTACAACATGTACAGCACGTAAATTGTGTGCAGTTGGTGGATGTTGCTTGGAGTCCGTTCTCTGCCCTCAAAGAATGACTCTCCCTCCCGCCTACAGTTTAGCGGTAGCACATCAGCTTGGAAAGTAGGAATTCTAGATCCCACTCCATCTACAGTTCAGCAAACGTTTTGGGTTCCTTGGCAGCATCACAAAGCATTGGGCTGCTAACCACAAGGTCTGCAGTTCAAATCCACCAGCCAAGACCCTAGCTGTGTACAACGGAACAGAGCCCTGCCTGGTGTGCGCCATCCTCACACTTGTTCTGGTTTGAGCCCATTGGTGCAGCCCCTGCGTCAATCCATCTCCGTGAGGGCCTTCTTTTGCACTAACCTCTTCTTTGCCCAGTGTTCGTCTGGACTAGAGAAACGAATGCATAGACACTCATATGTGTATAAGGGAGAGCTTTATATACAAGAGCAATTGTATAGTGAGAAAATATCCCAGCATAGTCCAGATCAAGTTCATAAGTCTGATATTAGTCAATATGTTCGATACCAATCTATAAATTACTCTTCAGACTCACTCAACACATGCAATGATGCCGAATGCAGGAAGATCACAGGGCAGTGGATGGGAAGTCTTGTGGATCCAGTGGTGGTGGAAGCATCTCAGCACTGGCAAGGGTCTCCACGTGGCTCCTCCAACTCTAGGACTCCAGCGTAGCATCATGTGTCTTGTCAACAGGAATGTCTCGCAGGGAGAGTGTGTCTGAAGTGAGCTATTTATCTCTTTAGCGCCTCCAAATGAGGTCATCAAGCTGTGACTTGATTGACAGGCTAAACTCCACCCCTTCACTCTTAAGAGTCTCAATGTTAACAAGAGACTATGTAACTACCACACCCAGCATGATGTTCTTTCCCAAGAACTGGTCTCTCCTGACAACATGTCCAGAATATGAGTGATGATGTCGCACCACCCTTGCCTCTCAGGATTGTTCTGGCTGGACTTCTTCCCAGACAGATTTCTTTGTTCTCCCAGCAGCCCATGGTGCTTTCAATATTCTCTGGGAACTCCATAATTTAAACACATCAATTCATCTTCGGTCTTCCTTATTCATTGTCCAATTCCCACGTGCATATGAAGCGATTCAAAATACCACGACTTGAGCCAGTGCACCTGCAATCCTTTGGAGGGGCTTAGAGCTTGATTCCGAGAGGTATGAGAGCTTAGATTCTAGGGCAGTTGGATTGTGGAAGGCTGTAGTGTGTTGTGGGAACCCTAATTCCATTTTTTGTCTTGGCATAAATTCAGACTCTATTTGAGTTCTGAATGTTAACCAGCAATGTGACAACTTTGTCCTCAGGTGAGTGTGTTTGAAAGTAGATGACAACTCCAGGGGTGGCGAGGCCAGCCCAGGAGGGACAGCCTTGCCTTCAGGGAACTTGGTTGGGCATGCCACCCATGATTTCCCAGGGATAGCTGCCATGTCATCCAAAGGTGAGGGCACAGGGGACTTTGATTCAGGTCCACCAGCCATATCCAAACCATCACCTTAGCCGGATCCCATTTTATTCTGCAATTGTTCACACATCCCAATCGGGGCCCTTTCCTGCTTCTGGGGTCCCACTAGGGACAGTGATGAATTGATCTGCCGCCAATCATGATTCTGTGATGATTGCTTTTGTTTTCTATCTCTAAGGAGTCTGGTGGTGCTGTTGGGTAAGCGTTGGACTACTAACTGCAAGGTTAGTGGTTCAAATCCACCAGCTTCTTCTCAAGACAGTGATGAGGCTATCTGCTCCCATAAAGATTTACAGCCTCAGAAAGCCTACCTGTATTGAGTTGCCATGTGTTGGAATCGGCTTAATGGCAGTGAATTGGTTCTTGGTAATAATTAGCCCCATGGTGGTGAATTCCTTTGGGCAGCATTTGGCTTCCTGCTGATGGCTCCCCTCACCTGCCTGATTTGTCTTTGTCTTGCCTCTGTCTTGTTGAAGGCTTAATAAAAGGGGGAAGAGTGAATATGCTTGAATTTGAGGTCTTTTTTTGGTTGTAAAGAACATATAGCCTGCAAACCCAAGAATATTTGCTGCCGAATCTGTGAGGCAGGCACTCTGATAGAATTGTGGGCTATGCCTTGAGCTGCTAACCAAAAGGTCAGTAGTTTGAAGCCACCACCTGCTCCGTGGGAGAAAGATG